CTTTTGTGCTGCGGCAAGCTGGTTACAAACCTTTAACAGTGGCAAAGGGCACTGAGACTGAGTGTTCCCTCCACCTTTGCTCCCTCCAAATCAGTGTCTGTCACAGTAAGTCAACCTGGATAAAGGCAGGAGTCACAGCCAAAGTGGCACTTCAGATACCAAATGCAGCTTTTCCACACAACGCTCCTTCCCAAAGCTTTTTATATTGTTGAGAAAACTTACAGAAAATCAAACCAAGTTTTCTTTTTTTACAAAATGGAAGGAAAAATGTGTAGGTTTGTTTTTCTTGTTTGCGGAGAGACCAAATGTTGCTAATGCAAGCCCCAGCAAAGGTGCGGGTCAAACCAAAGCTGAACGAAGAGCTCATCTTCAACACAGCTTTCAAGACAAGATGAGACGGTGGACAATCAATCCTCTTCTTCAAACTGGCCTGTCTGCTTTAACAGTGTCACTTTGCCGTTCACCGCAGTTATCTTGTAGATCCTGGAGTCCATTTCTCATCTTCTCCAAGTTCCCGTTTACCAGTGCGGTCACTGTCAATGTGGCCATGCTTGTGCATTTCTTCTGGCAACTCCTCTCTCTCATTTTTTCTCGCTTCCTTCCCCTCCTCCTCTTCAGCATCCTTCCTCCTCCTCCTTGTCCTCTTCTGAATCCACTAAAACCATGAAATCACCCATGTCTTGTCTCCTGAAAGTGTTTCCTACTTTCCAGCAGAAGACAGCCATGCAGCATAAGTCCAAGATAATGGCCAATCCCAGCAAATGGAGGCTCACCATGATTCCCACAATTCCCCCAATGTCTTTCGTGCTGAACCAGATGTCCATCTCTCTCACCCCCATGGGGCTCTCAGTCCAGCAGACACAGGAGCCTTCATCCACCTCCTGGGACCAGTTGCGGATGGTGAGGGTAGAGCTCTGGCCATTCTGGGTAATGACACAGTGTCTGTTGGTTTGGAATGACCACCTCGGGCTGGGTGAGGTTCCTCAGCCACAGGATCTTGGCAGGAGGGTAGGCTCCAGACACTCTGCAGGTGAGCATCACTTTGCCCCCCACAAAGCAAGTTTTGATGGACTCAGAAATCAGTAAAAACAGGAAGCAGCTGACTGTCAGGTTATTTCCAAAGGGCTCGGGTCTGGAATCTGAGGCCCAGAACCACCACTCAACCATGGGCAGGGGCCAGGAGCTGCTGTTGTAGCTAAAGACCATCTGGGAGCCCTTGGCTGTGTACAGAGTCCCACTGGAGAGTGTGCTGGTGGTGGAGATGTTGACCTCTATCTGAGAGGGGCAACTGGCCACCTACAGCTACACTCGGAACCACTGAGTTACATTCAGAATCTCCTGGCAAGTGTGTAGTTCTCCTCATCATGCAGGCTCAGCACCTAGATGTGCTGAGAGCTGGCTTTCACTAGAGAGAAGCAAAGCTTGGCCCGCAGAAGGCAGCGATCCAGTGGGCCAGGGCCTAGAGGCAGACAGGGACGCCTCTCTCTCCCCAGATGCCGGTTCAGGAAATGCAGGCTCAGGTGGGGCTGCTGTGTGCCCCAGGGCCCTGGCCCCTGGGGTACCCACTGATCCTTCCAGGTCCTCAGACAGCAGAGTGGCCCCACTTTCCACAGCCCCCAGGAAGGATGCTTGGGGTGAGGCTGATGTCTGAGGCTGGGAGCTGCACTGGGTGGTCAGTGCGGATGCCCTCTCCAGAGCTCCCTGACTGTGGTGGGAGGGTGCACCCCACCGCCTGCACCAGCCTGCCCCTCCTGGTGGTGGAAAAGAACAGGAGCTGGCCCCCTCAACGCCTCTTGCAGACAGGAGATCAACTTCCCTTTTTTTTTTTTTTTTTTTTTTTTTTTTTTTTTTTCATTTTTCCCCCACCCCCAATTGGTTATTTTGAGTGGGTGCTGTAATCAAATAAAATTTCTTGGGGTTTGTATCATACTAAACCTGTTGAAGGAATTGCTCAACCTTTATACACCAATTTTGTGCTCTACCCTTCAAAGATTATACCACTTGGCTTTTTCAGGGAAGGATGAATCAAATGTTATTTTCTATAATTAAAATTATAGTTTATCAAAGCAGAAGAAAACTACCTGCATCTACTTTCTCATTTTATAAATAAGCAAAATATCAATGATTCTTTGACTACTACTAATAATGGCAAAAATCATGTATTTATTGAAGTAAGCACATGTCAGACACTATGTTAATTTAATTATGTTCTTGTAACTCAACCCCAAGGCAATTATTATTACTCTTATTTTAAAGACAAGAAATTGAGCCTTTCAGAGGGTCAGTGACTTGTTCAAGGTAACACTTTCAATGAATCAGAGAAGAGATTCCTGACTCTAGAATGTGTACTGTTAACCATCTTATCCTATTGCTCCCAAAATGAATATCAACACGGAAAGACTGTAGGTGCCAAGGAAAATTTTCCTCTCTGCCTTCTAAAGTTTTTTACCCTTGGCTTGGTGTCGCCCGCACCACGCTCAGCCAGTGAGCGCACCAGCCATCCCTATACAGGATCCGAACCCCGGGGTCTCACGTTGCAAGACGGTGGAAGCAGAGAGAGCAGATAAGTTTCTAAACTTGGGAGACACAATTCAAGCTTCAAGGAGTGTTAAGGAGACATAATTCAATCCACCACAGGAATTAAGAATTTTGGTCTTGTTTGGGGCTCATAAAATGATACCCCAGATTGTCGTGCTTTGATATGCTGAACTAAAGAGACAGCCTCAAGGTCTCTCTGACCTCCCCCATTCCCCTTCTCTCAACCATCTGTCTCTCTCAAAGCACCAGCTGAGGCTCTTCTCTGATAGTCCCTTATATACCTTGGGATTTGACCTGCCAAGGAAAACACAAACAAACAAACAAACAAACAAACAAACAAGAATGATTACTGCATTGTATTACAGATCATTTTAAGTGCATGTTTCATGATAGACTATTAACAGGTTGAAATCAGACACACTGTCTTGATCATTATTGCGTCTCTGATAATTACATAATATTAGGTATTTTGCTATATTCTATAGAAAATACAGTAAGACTAGACCTGCCAAAGAGTGCACAATCACTTTCCATCCCCTCCCTGAAATCTCATTATCTACTGAAGTAAAAATGACTTGAGGAATGAAACCACACCTGAACAGACTTTTCACAAGATAATGTCCTTCTCTCAGGCTTATTCAAATTCCAAAGAGAATTATTTACAAGTTAATTTCTGTTTCTCTGCTATATTTATTCTCCCTAATAAGCATTTACTTTTCCTCAAAAAAATTGCCTACATTCTCCACCTCCCCCTGCCCGTGAAAAAGGGTATAAAGCATATGGATCTCATTGGGTTATTTGGGTAATCTTACTGCCATGGTTCTCCCCTGTGTAGGTTAAATTAATTTTGTATTCCTTTTTCTTCAATTAATCTGCCTATTCTTAGTTCATTTTCAGCAAACCTTCAGAAGACAAAGGGGGAAGCTTTCCCTCTTCAACCCTACAGAGTAAAACATTAAAAATATCAAAATATCTGTGTGCTATATAAAACTATGCCATGTATGACATTTTAGTAAATATTACCCAAACAATAAATAGATATTAATCAGAAGTCAATGAAAATTACTTAAGCTCAAGTCATTTTAAGTTATCTTGGTACAGGCTTCAAGGTTAAATTTAAATATTAGATTTATGTGAAGAAACTAATATTACCACATGAAACTATTTTTAAGAGTAATTTTTATACTTTCTTCCCCCAATTCCAACTATTTTTAGGGCAGCAATGAAATATTCTAAACAGATTACTATCGGGACACCAATTTTGGAGTGAAAAGGTTGAACCATAATTATGGCTTTCAATCCTAAATTTTTTGGAGGGAAGGGTATTCATTAATAAGAAAAACAAAGTATTCTTGGTTCTCTCTAAGTATTTGAACTATTTCATTTAGGGCACCTATGAATTTTGACAAATCATCTTTTCAATTAATTAATTTATTCATCTTTAATTAATGCTCACTACTTCTCTCAACAGGAATGAGTCAATCTAATCTATTTTTTCCCCAGTTTGAATGACTTTTTTTTTGGTCAACCTACAAAAGTCTTTAGATGGAGACTGATTTTGTGCATTTACAATCAAGATCAACTCTTTCAAAATTTTTTCCGTGTTTTAATTCAAAGCTTTTTGAAACTGAGGCAACTATGTGTGTGTGTGTGTATGTGTGTGTGTGTGTTGCTTTTTTTTTTTTTTTTAAAGGAAGAAGAAGAAAGAAAGGATAGGGCATCTGCTACATATAAATGATGATTTCCTAATTTTAAAGTCAAATATGGTACAAATAAATGTGCTTAAATTTCTAAGAGGACTTCTAGTTTCTACTACTAAAAAAATTAAAAATGAAAAAAAAGAAAAACACAAAGGAAAAAGATGTAAATATATCTCTATATCTGCAAAATATTCTAAAAGTGATTCATTCAACTCTACTTATGGAAGCATGTTATAAATTCTAAAACACCAATGAGATTGTATTGTTCTGCAGTTGACCTAGGTACCTATAATTATCAATAATTCACTGCAGCTTACCAAATGACTAGAGGAGAGGAAATCGAATGTTCTCAACACAAAGAAATGACTAAGTTTTATAATGATGAATATGCTAGTGATTCTGACTTGATCAGCACATTGTACACAGGTATCAATACTAAGTCCCCCACAAATACATATAATCAATTACATTTCAGTAAAAAAAATTAAGACATAAATCAGATCTTAAATAGATACTGTAGAATATTAAATTAGTAGAGGGTTGCCAATTGCCATGTATCTATGAAAGGCCATCACAGCAAGGATGAAGACTGCAGAATATTGTTAGCTCTTAAATAAACTTTACTTAATTGATTAGTATGTATTTGAAAATGCAAACTCATGTAGTATACAGTTAATTAATTTTGATCTTCTGAAAATTATGCACAAGAAACAATTTCCACCCCTTCTAATTAACCGTGGATCTCATTGTACACTTCAAGTTTTACTTAGTTGAAAATGCTCTACTCATTGCTTTACTCATGGCTTCCTTCACGTCTTTGTTCCTGAGACTGTAGATCATGGGGTTCAGCATAGGAATCACTGTGGTGTAAAAAACAGCCACCATTTTTCCCTGCTCCACAGACTCCTCCGTTGGGCTTCTCAGATACATGAAGAAGAACGTTCCATAAAATATGGTGACAGCTGTTAAGTGGGATCCACACGTGGAGAAGGCTTTCTTTCTTCCTTCCACTGAATGCATTTTTTGGATGGCAATAAGGATAAATATGTAAGAGACGATAATGACTAATAAGGAATAGGAGAAGTTGAGACCTGCCAATGTGCGCATAGTGTATTTTTTAATGAAGGTCCCCGCACAGGCCATTTTGATGAGAGCTGGGTCTGCACAGTAGAAATGGTTGATTTCAATGTTCCCACAGAAGTACAAACCGTGAGTCCACAGTGTTGAGATCAAACTAATAAAGAAGCTGTATATGTAAGGAAAAGAGACCAGCCCAATACAGACAGTCCTTGACATTCTGCTGCCGTAAAGTAGAGGGTTGCCAATCGCCATGTATCTATCAAAGGCCATCACCACAAGGATGAAGGCAATGAAAAAAAAGCACTGCACTATACACCCAGGATAAGAGATGGTTTTAGTCTCAGATACCAAATTTTCCAACATTTTAGGGGTGACATTAGAGGAGAACCACACATCTGCAAAAGACAAGTGACTGAATAAAAAATACATGGGGCTGCTGAGTTGGGGACTGATTCTGATTAATATACTCATGCCAATATTCCCAACCAAGGTGATAATGTAGACCAGCAAGAAAACCACAAAGAAAAGGAATTGTAATTCAGGGCGACTAGTTAATCCCAAAAGAATAAATTCTGTCACATCAGTAAAATTGAGCATTTTCTTAACTCTTATCCAGAAATAGATGTATTGTATCTAATGAAATAAATGGAACTCAGTAAATATACACAGCATATATAGTCATTCTTCTTTATATGATATCTTCCTGACCCATTTCCTTTTAATGCATTTGATATTTTTCTTTATAGACCTTCAAATATTTATAATAGCAACGTCATCAAATCCCTCTTACTGTACAGCTCTCACTGAACTCTCTATTGGCAGTTGACTTTGTTCCTGGCTAATTGAATCACCCAATACTAAAACACTCACTAGTTTTAGATAATGTATGTATCAGTGTATATACCCTTACCAGCTACTTAATAATTCGAGGTAAATGCCGTTGGTCACATATTGGTGTTTAAGTCTCTTTTATTTCGTGTTGTTACTATTTATTTGTTCAATGCTTTCCAGAGAACTCGCTAAATCTCCTTTCATGCACCAACAGCTGTTACTAACAACTGTTTCTTGTCTATAAAGACACATCTCTTTTTCTTCTTATCATCATCTGAATTCTGTTCTTCCCTTCTTATTCCATAGGATTTGCCTCATCTTATTTTTCTTCTGTCTGTTTTTCCTAATACTTGTTTCCCGGTTGGAATTACATAAAATGGAGGTTGGAAAAAAATTTTTTTAATATGTTTTTTTCTTTTCTTAGCACACTGGCAATGATTGAAGTAAAAGGAACAACATTATAGACTGACTATCAAAATGCCAAGGACAAAGAGGTATTTCTCCATCTAACTGGGAATTTGTAAAAAGAGAAAAGTAAAGAGCAAACTGTATGAGCGTATCCTCTACATTCTGCAGGGAGATCCACGTCATTTGCTTTGCTGTCCTCTGAATAATTGGTCATTTTCCACACATTTAGGCAAGAAATCTGTTTATGTTCTCAGCCTACTCTCTGCACACACTCTGGAGGAACTTTGTTGATTTAGTTGATGATTAATAAACCTTATATATTTAATGACAACATTTTAATCACCTCTTTTTCACTTAAGGCAATTGTAGTCAAGAAATATACATTTTTAAAATGTAAATGATCTTAGTCTTCAAGTGCTGAGTATATCAATGAGTAAATCAAGACAGAATAGCTGAATCTCCACCTCCATGAAGGACTTGAATTTTAGTAGCTGTTTAGTGACAAATTGGAGCTGGGAAGCAGAATGAGTTTTAAACTGTCGAGCCGTAATGAAATCCATCTAAGCTACCATCTCAGTCTGTGGTAAGATGTATGTAGAGTGAACAACTGCCACTTCAACCAGGAATTTATTGGTTGAAGAATGAAAATTTTGCATCCTGGGAAACCCCATGGTCCCAGGCAAACCAAGAAGGATGGTCACCCTAGGAAGTGTCAGGGCCCATTATGTATGTATGTATGTATGTATGTATGTATGTATGTATGCATGTATGTATGTATGTATTTGTTTGTTTGTTTATTTATTTATTTATTTTTTGCTCACACAAATAAGTGAGAACATGTGGCATTTCTCTTTCTGTCCCTGACTTGTTTCACTTAAAATAATTTTCTCTAAGTCCATTCATGTTTTTGCAATGGTAGTATTTCATTCTTTTTTTCTAGCAGAATAGTTTTCCATTGTGTAGATATACCACAGTTTCCTTATCCACTCATCAGATGACGGACATTTGGGCTGGTTCCAACTCTTGGCTATTGTAAATAGAGCTGCAATAAACATTGGAGTACAGGTATCCCTTCAGCATGTTATTTAAATGGCCAAGTACTTACAGACATCTTCAGAGTGCTGTTTGTAACAGGACAGAGAATTATAGAAAATGATAGTCACTGCTGGCTTGTTCTCTCTGGCTGTCTCCATGGTAAACTCCAACTACTTAGGATGTAGAAGGTAGAATGAAGAAAGGACCTAGTGGTGTCTAACTAGTATAAGATAAATTATTAATGTCTTGTGCACAAGAAGGCCTCTCTGTCAATAAGTATGTCTGAAAATATGTCATTGGTATTGTACAGATACTAGTACAGTTTAATTCAAAGACTGTATATGTGTATAAAGGAGACAAAGACAGAGAGACAAAGAGAGAAATTGATAGTGAAACTTGTACTAAGGAAATGGTGTTTTTATTTTATTTTATTTTATTTTTTTTGTCAATATACAATGTGGTTGATTATTATGACCCATCACCGAAACCTCCCTCCCTCCTCCCTCTCCCCCCTCCCACCCAAGAATGTCGTTTCCGTTTGCTTGTTGTAACACCTTCAAAGAAATTGTAGTTGTTATATCTTCTTCCCCCCGCCCCAGTTTTTGTGTGAGTGTGTGTGTGTGTGTGTGTGAGTGAATTTATTTGTGTATTTTTAGCTCCCACCAATAAGTGAGAACATGTGGTATTTCTTTTTCTCTGAAATGATGTTTTTAGTAAGAAAACAGAAACACTATTTTTTGGTTACCATTTAGCAACACTTTGTGGACACTTACTGATTCCCATTGTTTCTTTAGGTGAGATGGTGTGGGACATCAAGCCTAAAGCACCATCAACAACTGACTTTCATTGAAACAGTGAAGACTCTCCAATCCTACTTCCTAAAGTCCCCCATAATATTCTTTTTCTACTCAGAAATAGCAAGAACAGCCTAGAGAACTGACAGAAAACTTCAGGCAGATTTAACAAAAACACAGACTTTTTCTGCACATGTACCAACCTGTGCATGAGGAAAGAATATTCCTGGAAATATCCCATCTGTCACCATCAATGAATAATTCAGGAGGGTTTATAACAGTTGGATTTTCCACTATGGGGCTTTCTCAGTGGAGAAAATAGATGGAAACTGAAGTAATTAAAATGTTGCATATTGCATCGTCTATCATGGAAAATGAATCTCAGGAGCAAAATAATTCTCAGAAGAATTAGAATTTTTAAAAACAAGAGCTAGAAAAACTTGGGATTGTGCTTTCTTCCTGTTTTAAAATGTTTTCTTTGTATTCTAGTGACTGTGTTGCAATTGTTTGGAGGAAAAAAGGTCTTGATTTCCTGTATGATAATCATGTCAATATTGCATCAGTCATAACATATTTGAAATAATCTGTACTTTACAGTAGGAAAACGCTAGTAGGAAAACACTAATGCTTTGTTTAAAGCATTAGTGAAAAGAGTCCCTTCCCTTTTTGAATAATGAAAAGTTAGTAAAAACTGAGAGCATAAGGGAGAATACATTTTCCATATGCATGTCATTGATGAATCCTAAATGGGCTTCTCCTTTCTAAAAGAATTAATATAATTGTCTAAAACCCAATTTAATTCCTAGATTAGGGTTGATAGTATTTTATTGAGGATTATGTTGTTTTGACCTTTTTATAATATTGTAGAAAACTCAGTTTCTTGATAAATAATTTTTCTTGATAAAATACGATTTCTAATATTTGTTTTCCTCATGTTTACAGTTTCTACCCATTTAGGAGAGAAAAAAAAAATGACATGCTTGAGAAATACAACTTAAACTTTTATTGACAAAAATAATTGTTTGCAAAATCAGTGGGTATTATTTTCAGTTAGCAATCTGTATATCACAAGGCATGCAACCTTATTCCTTGAATGGAGATTTATTAATATCTTGAGACTCCATTTTATAAGGTGGAAGAAACTAACTTGATTAATTTGTCTCCCTGCTTTCCACATGGCTGCATCAGAGTTCTAGCAGATGAATGTACTCCAGTGCAATGAAAAACATGATTCTTGACCTTGATGTCATCATCTATAGACACAGACATTCATTTACTTGTTTATACATTTATTGTGTGCCTGGAATACAGTTTAAAAATTTTTGCCAGCTCATGGAGCTTATGTTGTAGTGATATATTGTTATTCTTATCTGATTGCTGCTGACCTTTCTGTGTTTGGAACTCTGAGACTTCTTAATTTTTTTTTTTCCAATTGTATATACTTTTTTATCCCTTCAAGGAACAGGGAGCATTCGGGAGCTACAATGCCATGCTAGACCACAGAGGGCCTTGGGAAGCTGAGGCCCTACCTCTCCAGACATGTGCTGCCAACAGATTTATTTTGGAAACTTGTTGCTTCCCATGGTATTAGAAAAAAAATAAAATAAAATACAGGCCAACGTAGTACTTGAGTTTTGCAAGCCTAATAAAATTTCTGTTATGTCTCCCCTCAATTCCAAAATCTAGTGCAGAGAAAGAGGATACAGAGATAGATTCCTTTGTTTCTCAGGGAAACTAGTGGCCCAACCTTACATTTTGTCTTTCCCCTTCCTCCAAAATAGGGTATTTTTCTAGATATTTTAATAAATTCGTCGTTCACATTTATTGTTTGTTTCTGAATCCCCTTTACCTTTCCTAATATTTAGGCAATTTTGATACTGCAATATAGTAATAAATATATCTTTGGTCTTTATCCCTGGTTTCTGGCTACAGCTCTTAAAACCCCTGTAATTTTCTAACTGATAAAGATAAAAGGAGCATTTTTTGTTATTTGTAATGAGCCTCTTTCAATCACACCTGAATTTATGTTAATGAGATGACTTCTGGAAATCACCTAAGGGTGGAGGATTAGTTGCCTGAGGAACCACCCTTGTGATTAGAGGGTTGAATTTTCAACGCACTCCCTGCCTGCGTGGAAAGGAGAGAGACTGGAGGTTGACTTAATTACTAATGTCCAGTGGTTTAATCAATCATGCTTATGTGATCAGGCCTTTTTAAGAACCCAAAAGGATGGGGTTCAGAGAGTTTTTGGGTTGGTGAAGAAATGGATGTGCTGGGAAGGTGGTAAACATGAAGAGGGCACAAAAGCTTCAAACCCCTTTTCACACACCTTGCCCTGTGCATCTCTTCCACCTGGCTATGCCCAAGTTGTATCCTATTATAAAAAACCAACAGTCTAGAAGATAAATTATTCTTCTGAGTTCTATGAGCCATTCTAGCAAAATATCAAACTCAAGGGGGAGTTACTGGAAAACCCCAGTTTATAACCTGTTGATAAGAAGTACCAGAGGCTCAGACTTGCCCTTGTTATCTAAAGTGGGGGGATGGCAGAAGGAAGTCCTGGGGACTGAGCCCTAGCATATGTGATCTGAGGCTCACTCCAGATATATAGTATCAGAGTTGAATTAAGTTATAAGGCACCCAGTTGGTATCCACAGAGAACTGCAGAATTGCTTGGTAGAAAAGAAAAAAAAAAACCTACATTAGGACCCAGAGTGTTGTATGAGTATGTAGAAAAAAAGACAGTTTAATTTTTGCAGTAATTTGTAATTATATAATATTGGCTAACATTAACTAAACAGAATTTTTAAAAATGGTAACATACAAAGAAAGACTGTTAGGGCCATCTCTCAGTCAATAAGTTTTTAATAAATGCTCACAAATCCGTGAAGACCAAATTTTATTTCTTCATAAACATAACAATTAATATATTGATAAATTGTATCTCTACTGAAAAACTTGTTTCAACCTGAAGACTTACTTATTAAACTAATGGCTAAATATTATTGATCAATATCAATATAACAAAATAGTGATAATCATTGTTTATGAATTACTGCCTTTCCATTCCCTTAACTTTTATAAAGCAGGGCTAGGTATGAGAGGAAACACCATTAGACTTAGTGAGGACTTAGAAAATCAGGTGCATTCCTTCTGCTAGGTGTTGCTTCTCTCACCACGCAGTAATTTAGCCTGTGATCCACCAGAGTTATGATTTTGTGTCCAATCTTTAGAGGTTGGGATAATGTGCTACTCAGACCAGCCAAATAAGCTGATTTCTCAACTCTTTCTTGATTTTTCGGTTTGAACTTTTTGGCACCAGACAGTTTTACGCTTATGAAGACCCCTGTGATGACAAAGGTCTATGAAGACCACAAGTCCTCTCTTCTGACACAAATTTGCCTTTGTTACTGAAACATTTTAAGTGATCCTGTTAACCAATAGAGAAACTAAGAAAATTTCAATGTACACTTGTTTTTCATTGATTTAATATTAGCAACTTTTACCATTCTCAGCCTCAAAGGATTAAGCAATATTGTAATTTGACTGAGACCATATTAGAATTCCATGCACTATTATGGGGAATGAAAAGGGTGGAAAGTAAGAATGATTGCAAGTAGTTTATTTGTATAGGAGTGAAACTCCCTGCTCGTGTTGACATCTAAACATAATTAAACATAGTGATTTTGAAAATACCTTTAATAAAATGACTGTTAAAAAATGGTTTGTCTGTGGTGAAAAAGTCGCTGAAAAAAAAAATTAGGAAAAGTTTAAAAATTAGATAATATGCCATGATCCTATATAAAGGAAACAAGAATCTTCTGTATAATCTTGATTTCTAAAACAGCCAGATTCCTTTAGAAAACATGTTCATTAAGGCATTTCTGTGATATTGCAAGGAAAACTTACTTAGTTGTAATACTGAGCCTCTGGGGAAATGTTTAATTTGTGTGAAAAAGTATTACACAAGAGATTTCACTCAACATTTCTGGAAATCTTATCAGGTATCTGATATCCTCTCATCGTCTGTGAAATAAAATGTTATTAATTACAAGTTTGGGTCTAATGGGAAGTGGGTTAACGATACATCAGTTAAATGTGAAAGGAATAAGGGTGAGATTTTCTTAAAAAGAAAAAACTTGGTTAATAAAATAATAATATCTATAGATATGTATCTAATAGCTTAAGGTTGTACAAACATAGGCCTTCCCATAAATAGGTAAATATTACAAACCCTTCTTTCACAGATAGAGTAATTGTCAACTTTAGTCTAGCCCTATAGGTAAATTCTTTGGGATTAACTCTTGTTACCATTACATAAAGCTTTTGGATAAGATAATCTCTAAAATATGTCCAGTTTTAAAGTTATTTGATTTTATCAAACAATTGATAATACTATATGATAGGAAAAGATTTAAACAGGAAAGGTTTATTAAAAAGTACTTTTACTAGTTGGGAGAGGTTGCCAAGAGATCTTAACTTGAGAGTAAATCAAAGGTTATTGGCAAGGAAGACGCATAGCAGTGAGAACAGTTTAACTTGCACCTATCGTTGAATATGCATGTACATGTGTGTGCATGTGTGTGCATTTGTGTATGAAGTAACTTGAATAGAATCCGGATTTTAGTTCACCAAAACTATGCTGTGCATCTTCTGTCCATGTTACTTTGGACATTTATCAATGTGGTTAAGACTGCTATTTAATTGTAGATAAAACCCTCGTTTTTTAGCTCAATACATAGTGTCCTGGAATAAACATTTCCCAGACTCTCTTGGAGGGAAGAATGAGGATATAATTAAGGTTTGACCCACAAGATATAAGCAGACATGTTGTATGAAAGATTTAGAACATCAAAAGAACCTTCACACGTGGGCTGGCTTTCTAACAACCGTTCTGGATTATGAAGTTACCTTAAGAACATAAGCTGTGTTCAAACTAAAACAATCTTTAAAGGATCTGGAGACAAAGGTAACAAAGCTGGCAGAGAAGTCAGAGATTTCTGACCTCCAGACTTCCTTATCTGACAGAAAAGTAAAACAGCAAAAAATTATTTTTGTTTGTCACTATTTTTTACACGAAATGACATTAGTCGATACAAACAGGAATGAGAATGAACTGCCTATGTGACCTTATCTTCTTATTTTCAATCACTATTTTCAGGAATTTTAACCCTGTCAGCTACCTCATACAGAGATTTAAAAATGTATTCTGCAAATCTAGCCTAAAATGGGTCATATAACCCAATAATATCATATCTTTCTACTTCTAAAATATTTTGATGATAGTTTAGCACTTTTATTTTCCTAATTTTTGATTGCCTATTGCTTTTCTCAATGCCTCTTTTACATCCTTGTTCCTGAGGCCATAGATCATGGGATTCAGCATGGGAATCGCTGTGGTGTAGAACACAGCCACCATTTTGCCCTGCTCTACGGATTCCTCTGTGGGTCGTCTCAAATGCATACAGCAGAGGGTCCCATAGACGATTGTGACTACTGTCAGGTGGGAGCCACATGTGGAAAAAGCTTTTTTTCTCCCTTCTGAGGATAGTGACAAGGATGAACATGTAGGATGTCAGAATGATCAGGAGGGACTGGACATTGCTGTAGCCAGCTACTATGTACATGGACTACTGTTTGCTGTAGGTGTCAGAGCATCGGACGACTCTTTGCTGTAGGTGTCAGAGCATGCCAGTTTGATAAGAGGAGGATCAGCACAGTAGAAATGGTTGATTTCATTAGCACCACAGAAGGATAAGTGGAACGTGGAGAGGTTGTAGGTCCTCAGAGTTTCCATCACACTGAGGAGGAAGCCATAAGCAAAAGGGACAATGACCAGGTGGACACAGACACTCCTGCACATCTTGCTACTGTAGAGCAGTGGATTACAGATGGCCACGTAGCAGTCATATGCCATGACAGCCAACATGCAGTGCTCTGTAAGGACCACAGCAATGACAATATAGCACTGCTCCAAAGAACCTTCATATGAAATGGTCTTCTCCAATAAGAAATTTTCTAGATTTTTGGGAGTGACATTTGTGGAGAAACACAGATCTAGAATGGACAAACTTGAGAGAAAAATGTACATGGGAGTGTGAAGTCGACAATCAATTTTTTTTTTTTTTTGTCTTTTGTCTTTTTTCCGTGTCCGGCAACGGATTGCAACCCTCAGTGTTGCCCCCGTACCGGACCGGGGACCGGCAACAGGATTGCAACCATCGGCGTTGCTCCCGCGCCTCGCTCAGCCAGTGAGCGGGAGCCGGTCTGTATGTGGGATCCGAACCCTCGGATATTCTCAACCAAGGTGATAATGTAGACAAGCAAGAAAACCACAAAGAAAAGGAATTGTCATTCAGGGCGACTATTTTCAGGAATTTTAACCCTGTCAGCTACTTCATACAGAGATTTAAAAATGTATTCTGCAAATCTAGCCTAAAATGGGTCATATAACCCAATAATATCATATCTTTCTACTTCTAGAATATTTTGATGATAGTTTAGCACTTTTATTTTCCTAATTTTTGATTGCCTATTGCTTTTCTCAATGCCTCTTTTACATCCTTGTTCCTGAGGCCATAGATCATGGGATTCAGCATGGGAATCGCTGTGGTGTAGAACACAGCCACCATTTTGCCCTGCTCTACGGATTCCTCTGTGGGTCGTCTCAAATGCATACAGAAGAGGGTCCCATAGACGATTGTGACTACTGTCAGGTGGGAGCCACATGTGGAAAAAGCTTTTTTTCTCCCTTCTGAGGATAGTGACAAGGATGAACACGTAGGATGTCAGAATGATCAGGAGGGACTGGACATTGCTGTAGCCAGCTACTATGTACACGGACGACTCTTTGCTGTAGGTGTCAGAGCATGCCAGTTTGATAAGAGGAGGATCAGCACAGTAGAAATGGTTGATTTCATTAGCACCACAGAATGAGAGGTTGTAGGTCCTCAGAGTTTCCATCACACTGAGGAGGAAGCCATAAACAAAAGGGACAATGACCAGGTGGACACAGACACTCCTGGACATCTTGCTACTGTAGAGCAGTGGATTACAGATGGCCACGTAGCAGTCATATGCCATGACAGCCAACATGCAGTGCTCTGTAAGGACCACAGCAATGACAATAAGGCACTGCTCCAAAGAACCTTCATATGAAATGGTCTTCTCCAATAAGAAATTTTCTAGCTTTATGGGAGTGACATTTGTGGAGAAACACAGATCTAGAATGGACAAACTTGAGAGAAAAAAGTACATGGGAGTGTGAAGTCGACAATCAATTTTGATTAAAAAAAAATCATGCCCAGGTTTCCCACCATAGTGACTATGTAGACAGCAAGGAACAATATAAAGAAAGCAACTTGCAAATCTGGATGGCTTGTTAGACCCGAAAGAATAAATTCTGACACTTCTGGACATTTCCTTGTCTCATCCTTGAGACTTTGGTTTGATTATCTAAAGAGAAATAGGAAAGGTTTTTGTTTGTTTGTTTGTTTGTTTTAAATCACTCAAACCCTGGTTAAATATTATACTTTGTGTTGTATAAAAGCTACAAAAGTCTTTAGTTATCTCACTAGCATTTTCATAATTAAATGTGAATAGATATACTCCAAGTGTGACATTTTCAGCAAATAGTTTTAATTCAAGCTGATTTGTAATCATATTGTAATGTAAATTAAAGTATTTTCCCATACTTTGGGAAATTTATAAAAAAATCTGGTAACTATATGTCAAGTAATAAATCACAATAAATGTTTAGAAATGTTTAGAACCCCTGTCTACATGCTTTCATTTACACACGGAGGTATAGAGAAAGTTAGAAAGAACTTTGAGGGTAACCCAGACAAAGTTCTTCATACTGAAGACTGAGAAACTGAATCCCAGGGAGGTGAAGTGTCTTAGCCCACTCAGACCCTTGTCTCGTATTTCTTCACTCAGCAATCTGCTAATGTACTGCATAGCTCATCACATCCAACTCATTGTCTGGAACCTAATAAGTTTTAATATTTATTTTGTTGTTTTCGGTGGCAGTGTTGTGCAAACTGTTTCCTCATTTTGCAAATTGGTTGTTTGAGTACCTTCATAAATGAACCATTTTATTCAGATCTTTAACATTAATATCATGTAGTTATAGATGTTTTTCTCCATTTAAACCCCACAATTTAATCTATCTGTCTATTGGGCTGAATGAGTGGATTCATGCTCTTTTATACCTCAGTTATTCATAAAATATTATATTCATTTGTCTCTGAGGTCTTAGCATATGTTTTAATTTGGTCTTGTGTTTTAATTTCTCACTATTTGAATACATGCTGCACAAAGCCACCTTTATAATCCCAAACTAGGCTTATATTCTCTTTGATATTGCTGTGTAAAGCAGCCCGATATCAGTGTGTTTGCTATTCCCTCATTGTTATAACCCTGACATATAGTTTAGTCATTAGGATAAAAGGAATTAACTCAATCACTTCAAGATGATGAAAAATTGATTAACCTATACTTACTCTCTATTAATATATCCAGGAAAGTCAATAGTCTTATCTGTTTTAATGCCATTGTCACACAAACTTAAGTCTGCTCAACATCTTTGTGTTTGTGCGTGGATGTGTCTATAAATATAAACAGAAAATCTAATTTTATTGTACCAGAAGTATTCATTTATTCATTCAGTAAATGTTTATTTAAAACTAGTATAAAGCAAAGATATTTACAAATGAAAAAATGAACACTCAGAGACTAGAATTAAAAGATATTCTGGCGGCGGTTGCGATTCGGGGCCGTTGAGACGCTTCTGCGGCAGCTGGTGGCGCAGGTGGCTTGTGTGGACGCGGGCAGAAGCGGCCGGCACGCAACCGCAGCCTCAGCGTCCGCGGCCTCGGCAGGCGCGTCGGGACGCCCCGAGGCATCCTCCCCGCCCGCCGGCCCGGGAGCGTGGGTTTCCGTCCGTCCGCCGTCCGCATCCTTTCGCCGCCCGCGTAGCCGCACCTCCTCCGGGGCCTCGCCCCCCACCCCCGAAACATGACTCGCGACTTCAAACCTGGGGACCTCATCTTCGCCAAGATGAAAGGTTACCCTCATGCACACCTGCTCCTTCCTGAATATTCCTGTAATATCCCACTGACTCCGATCTTGCCTTCCTCTACTATGAAAGGATTCACAAATATTACATTTTAATTAGAGTTTGTAACTTTCATATCTGAGTGATAACCTGTCTGGGAACAGCAATTTAGATGCTTAAAATTTCCATAAATTTGTGGTTGGCTTTTGTTTTTGTCGTTTTTCAGTTAACATGTTATGCCCTTCTGATGTTGGTTTTTAAAGCTACACCAATATTAACTCACTTTGAAAATATAATTTTACTTAGAAGCATAGAGAATTCTTTCTAGAGCGTTGAATAAAAATAATAATTTGTATGAGTGATAATTTTGTTCATAAAGTTAACTAAAATAGTAAGCCATGTTAATTTTATGACATAATTTTTTATAAATAGTAAAATTTTTTATATAAATCTTTGATTATTGATTTTAATCCATTTACCTTTTTCTCTTCCACACTTTCCATGATAACAATTTAGATTTATGCTTGACATTTTATGACCAAAGTATTTATAATATTATAATATAATATAGAAATATCCTTACTTTTTCTTTGGTTTTACCTTTTACAAACATCAAGGAGATAATATTCTCTTGGCTTTCCTGCTACCTCACTTGTCATTCTTTGTCAAATTCCTTTATGATTACTTATTCTCTATTTAAATAACAATTTATGTTCCAATGATAGAGTTAGGCATAGAGCTCAGATATCAGAACTTTCCTCTTTTCACTATCGATTGATGAAGTCATCAATTTCATGACATTATATAACATTTATATGATAACAACTCACAAATTTATGACTTCATGTGTCCTTTACTCCATTACAAATAAAAGAATAAAAATCATATGATCATTTCAACAAATGCAATAACTTGATAAAATTCCACACCCAATAGTAATTAAAAATATAGAAACCTAGATTTAAAAAGCAATAACTATTTTCTGGAAGAAATATTAAAAGTATTCCTATTAAATTCAGTCTTAAAAGTCTGTTTGAAACTAATACAGTGTTAAGTAACTTACCTGTCAGTATCTCTTTGTTAAAGAAAGAGGAAGAAAAGAAGGAGAAGGAGAAGACATCAACACAAAGAAAGATGAGGGTCAAAGGGCAAACATCCGGCTTTGAGGCTGGCAGCTGTAAGAGTCAAGCTAGAGCTGCGTGGGAGTCTGTACGTCATGCACGATATTTATTTTCATCGCTATGTTCTACTTACACATAGCAACATTGTAATAATACACAGGTTTCTTTTAAAATTAGCTATTAGCAGTATACTATGGGGAATGCATTTTAATGACGTAAATATTTAATGTTAATTGTCTTAAAAAGTGCTGGTTTGTCAGCATTCAAGGAATCATAGCAAGAATAATAAAGAATATTATTACCAAAATAAATAAATAAATAAATTCAGTCTTAAGCGGAAGATGCCCACTGTCACAATTTCTATTTAATATTAAACTTGACAGCATAGCCTCATACAAAAAGGCATTATAACTGAAAATAACTTCCATTACTCACAGATTCTAAAATTATTATCTAAACATGAAATGCAAAAGGACAAATTAATAAAAACAATATGAGAATTTAGAAAAGTGGTTGTCTATAAACAGATATATAATATTCAATTTTATTTCTATGTAAGCAGTTGAAATAATTTTTAAAAGACACCATGTGTAAGAGTGTCTAAAATTATAAGGCACAGAGAAATAAGTCTTATACAAGTAATGTAATATTATTATGTGGAAAATTATTTTACTATATTGAAAACATTTAAAGTCTTAAAAAATGAAGAGAGATTTTTTGTTCACTGAGGAAAGAATTCAATATTATGGAAACATAAATGTCTTCCAAAAGATCCATAATGTCAATTCAATTCCAATCAAGATTCTAACATGATATTTTGTAAGTGAGCTGATTTTAATACTTATGTGGAAAAGTAAAGGTCTGAGAAGAGTCTATATCTTCCATAACAATATTCAAAGAGTTACTTATTAGATATGAAGGTTTACTATAAAATTATAGTTTTCAGAACTGTGTATTATCAACATACAATTAGAAAAAAATAACCAATGTTTCAGATTAGAAGTGGTCCAGAAATAGCTATACACACACAGGTAACTTAACATGACAAAGATGACCTTTAAATCAGGGTTCAAAAGAGGAACTTTTTCAATATTAACCGTTGGCTTAGTTGATTATTTAAATGGAAAAAATTATAAAATTGTATTCTTATACCATGCAAAGAAATAATTTCTAATGCTAGGTAATGTTTTAATACATATTCCGTATATTTTACAGCTTAAATTTACATAGATGTTATGCAATTTACTGAATTTAGCACAAATTATTTTAAATAAATAATACATCAGTTAGTTAAAATATTATATGTGTGAATACATCTCTGAATTTTAATTCACAAACAATTTCAGTATACTAACCATTGCATAAAATGAAGTTTACCTCTAAATATTATTTTTCCATGGGACAATTTTGATATCAGTAAATGTCATTAACAGAGAACTTTTCAGTGGATGTAGAAAACATATCCCTTCCAAGCAGGCTCAAGAAATAAAATGAATAGCCTACAGTTTACCTGCCTTAAGAGTATCAGTGAAACTAATAGGCCTGGTTAATTTTCTTCTTGGAGGGATACTATAAATAACAATAACAACAAGAACAACAATAATAAAAAAAGCAACATTTGCTGAGTTCTTATGTTCCATGCACCGTATTAAAGTACTTTCCATGTATTATCTTATTTAATTCCAGCAACAACCTTATGAAATAGCTACTAGATTATCCCATTTTTTTTCAGTCAAGAAACATAGATGGTTCCTTGGGCCTTCTGATTTCAAATCTCATTTTCTTATCTATTAAATAGTATGAAGGCTTTTAACACTAGTTTTCCTCTTATTAACATGAAATTTTATACTTCAGAGAACATTTTAAGTCACTTTGTAAAACCTTGTAAGCCATTCATTTGTTTATGCATGTACATAAGTTATGCACATAGAAAGTAATTATTGAGCATCATTCAAGCTCCACACAAGATGCCACATGCAAGAAGTAGGATACTAGACAAGTTAGAGGCAATATGTTTAGTCAGATGAGTAACCAGGCTCCCAAAATGTAATGGTGTGGAAAATTGAACACAGCTCTGAAGTAAAAGAACCAGGAGAGCAATCAGATATTACAGGTCCCAGTTTGATGCTCTTCCTCTGTAATGTTCTATTTTCCTAGGAAAGTTTATCTCTTCCTTCAGTTGAATTGATTGCTTGTGTAACAATAATAACTGTTGCCAAAAATGTTAAAATTCAATATATCTAATACTCTTGCCTCTCTATTTTGGAACCAGGGCCTACTGGAAGAAACAAATATAAATAAAATAGGATCTTGAGCTAGAATTTTCTTTGATACAGACAAGGAACAGGAATTCTTAAAAACTTAAAAAGATAAGAGATGGAAAAGGGAGAAGACAGACACGCAGGCGAGATATCAGTGCCCTAAATGTAAAGAAAAGGAAAAACACTGTGCTGTGAATCTAGTAGCTAGAAATTTTGACTCACAAGAAGAAAGATGCAAGCTCTCCCTTTAAGTCTCAGCTGACGAGCCACTCCTCCAGTCCAACATCTAGGTTAAAGAACTGATTAAGACTCTAAGAAATTTTGCAAACTTGCTCAGATCTCACTGGTCATAGGGACATGCATTTTTAGTGGAAATCACTATCTACATATTTTAATTCTAGAACTGTGGAACTGTGGCAAACAGAGACAACTAAAAGATATATAGCTCATGTGAGATCAGTCAGACTGCCACTAAGAGGGGAAAAGCACTCATAGCAGACACTCAGATACAGTCAGTAACTTGGATGATGAACCAAGACTGATTCTGTGCCTACATGTGTAACTTTGCTTAGTTAGATCTTCTCATCTAAGACTATTAGTTGAAGCTAAGGGACAACTTTCCCATATGTTCAATGAATGCAATGAACAGCCTCTTTGAGCATTTACCTTACTTATTAGAGGTCAGAATTTTTAAAAAATGATTAAGTTGCATCCAGCTAAATTATTTTCAATGTGTCTTTTTTCTTTTGGAGATTGGTGATAGTAGACACCAAGATATTAGACAAATGTAAACACAAAAAGAATACTATCTGAAACTAATAATGATGAAAACATCTGCTGGACTACTATGAAATTCTACCCAGATGTTTCAGTAACAGTGTCATAAATGTGAAAGACAGAGCTAAGTAAGCACCCTATGGATTGTCTTTCATGGAAAATGCATTGCCTACACAAATTTGCCTTCCAATTACCAATTTCAAACCACCATAATCTAAAAAGTATACAATTTAATGATGAAAATAGATGAATTACTAGATAATGAAAACAAACAAACAAATATTTCCTCTCCTACCTGTGAAAATAAGGGTGTCTTCTCCATGACCCCAAAGGTCAAATTCTGGCCAGCGCTAGTAACAAACAAACATTTCCTCTCCTACCTGTGAAAATAAGGGTGTCTTCTCCATGACCCCAAAGGTCAAATTCTGGCCAGCACTAGAGAATTTATACTCACATTACTGACATCAGCATTTATCTCAGGAGAATTCTCAAATGTGTCATGAATAAGCGATTAGAAGTGGAATCCCAGTGGAGAACATCCTTACAGGCAGAAATACTAATTGGTGGTCTTATACTACCTTGAATCAACATATTAGACAAAATTCCATATTTTATATTTCACTGATTAAAGCTAATAGTATATTATGGATACGAGGGTAGTACTTTAGACAATACTGCAGACCAAATCTAAAATACTCTGGGGACACTTAACTTTTCAAGATCACTGCCATATTTCATACATCGTTTGTCCTTTAACAAGCCCACACAAGAATATGTACAAAGTGCAAAGTTCAATGCTGTTTAATGTACAGAAGAAAAATATTAAAAATATTATTCCTCTA